TTCAACGTCGTCGGCATTGTCATGGCGAAAAGAAAAGGGATGCCGAAAGACCTGCAGTCCGTCAAGCTGAAGCGGGGCAAAACTGCGTTCTGGTCGGCCGACCTGGGTGTCAGCGGTTCTCTCCTGGCCATGGTGTGGCGAGATAAGCGCAACATCCGTATGCTCTCCACCATGCATACGGCAGACATCCGTGGCACCGGCAAGCAAGACAGGACAGGGCAGGAAAAGCAGAAACCGACCTGTGTCATCGAGTACAACGCCCTGATGGGGGGCGTTGACAAGAGCGACCAACTAGCAGCAAATCATCGAGCAACTCATAAGTCCCTCAAGTGGTACAAGAAGCTCTTCTTCTACCTGCTCGACTTGACGCTGGTGAACAGCTACGCCATGTACCTGGCTGTTGGTCACCGCCTCTCCTTCCTCGACTACTGCTTGAGTCTTGTCCGAGATGAGAATGTTGTATTTCCATCTTTTCAAAAAGTGGCACATTTCCTTGTAATGGTTTTACTAGGTGGTCATGTTTTCAACCTTTGAAAAAAAATGACGAAAAAGGCAAAATTTCTGGAAAGTACTGCTTTGAGGATGTTGAATTTTCATCTCTTGAAAAAGTGGTACACCCTTGTAAAGGTTTTACTAGGTCATGTTTTCAACCTTTGAAAAAAATGACAAAAAATACAAAGTTTCTGGAAAGTACTGCTTTGAGGATGTTCAATTTTCATCTCTTGAAAAAGTGGCACATTTCCTTGTAATGGTTTTACTAAATGGTTATGTTTTCAACCTTTGAAAAAATTGAAAAAAAAGACAAAGTTTCTGGAAAGTACTGCTTTGAGGATGTTGTATTTTCATCTCTTGAAAAAGTGGCACATTTCCTTGTAATGGTTTTACTAGGTCATGTTTTCAACCTTTGAAAAAAATGACGAAAAAATACAAAGTTTCTGGAAAGTACTACTTTGAGGATGTTCAATTTTCATCTCTTGAAAAAGTGGCACATTTCCTTGTAATGGTTTTACTAGGTCATGTTTTCAACCTTTGAAAAAAATGACAAAATAGA